GGAGACCGCACTGCAACAGCCCCAAGTCTCTCGCGCATCTCCCTTATATACGGTCCGAGGCCACGCCCCCATTCCCGAACCTTCTCGCTGGTTCTAGACGCTTGCTCTACCAGCAGACTCCACCGTCCTCTTCCGTCACCTGGCCACGCTCCTATTCTCGATCATTCCCGTAGCCACCAGTCCCTTCGCACTCACAGCTGATACCCCTGTCATTACCTCCCGTGGCCACTAGTGCATTCGCACTGTTCGGCTGACTCCCCTGTCATGATTATTTATTAATTATTTTACTTCATTTTTAGCTGTGTAAAATAATGGTAAACAAATCAAAAGTATTTTTTTATGTAAAGCTTTCGTGACTGCAGGGATTCATATTCTTAGTTCTTTCGGTAAAGTCACGTAGAAGGGAAACAATAAAATAATAAAAATATGAAACAATAAAATTCTCACGACGTTTCGACTGCAACACAAGCAATCATCATCAGGTGTGAAAAACCACAGCAAGAAAATAGTTCTGTTGTGGTTTTTAACACTTGATGATGATTGCTTGTGTTGCAGTCGAAACGTCGTGAGAATTGTATTGGTTTATATTTTTATTGTTTCCCTTCTACGTGACTTTACCGAAAGAACCAAGAATATAAATCCAAAGTTCGTTAAACTTAAACTTGGTTCATCCAATATACGCATATCGAGGTATATTTTGCTGTTCTCATTTTCGGATGAGTGACGAGAAGATTCGGGCCGAGTTCCCAATACCTGTAAACCCCCTTATCAGTTAGTTTAACACTTAGGCTTTCGCGACCAATATCATCCATAATACAGATTGGGTTACATCGCGTAAATATAAATGTGTCGTTAAACCCGCCACCACCCGACACAGCCAATTAGTAAGGTTTGTCACGTAAACAGAACATGCCAATTCGTTACTAGTACAGGACACCGGTGTGTTGGAGAGCAAATCCTCAACATTTACAATCCGAGTACGACGTTTCGCCAGTAATTACAACCGGCATCATCAGGCAGCAGCCAGATTTATGGAAAAATACTGTTTCAGTGCCCTACCTTATTACAGACCAATTCAGACCTTGTTGGTCACCCCGTGCCCTTATAAAACTCAACGCTCATCTTACAAAGTCCCATCATAAGGGAAAACACAAACAGACAAAAAAATTGCGGTCCGTATTGAAACGGCTAAACGCCGTATGGACCTGAAAACTCAATTTCCCTGTACAAGAATATCGGTAAACCGTATGGGTTGAAAGGTATGCATACTCAATCTCACAGACCACACCGATAAATGCCATACACACACACCACATACCCTATATTAACATTCATCACACTCACCTCCCGTACACAAAGATGTGTACCCTATATTAACAATCGTCGCATTCGCCTCCCGTATAGCCACCACTCTCAACACACACGCCGCCTTGTAAGGAATCTACTGCTCACAACCATGCAAAATCAAGAGCACAAAAAAATCAATTCGCTCCAACCTATTTTTTTTATTACCCACACAGCAGAGAGAGACAGAGCATTTTCATGATACATAGTACAAAGATCTCCCGTGTCGCCTTTAACAGACTGCTGGGGAGAGTGCTTTTGGCGAGCACCTATCGAAACACAAGGGGGTGGAGGGTGGCCAGCACCACCCCCGGCCGCCTTTGTCTCCCCCACTGGCGATGTTTACCACACACCGCAACCAGGTACTAATTTCAGGCTGAGTCGACCTAGGGGGAGGCCCAGGACCGGTTCAGGATTAATCGGCACTGATGGTGTTGGCCGTGAGCGGGAAATCGAACTCGGGTCACCGGGTTAACGTAGCGCAGCGCGCTAACCGCTGCGCCACCGCTCCCCCCATATAACACACGCACACCACCACGATACCCATCAGAACGACACATTACAGGATTTATTGCGTGGGCTACCAGCGCACATCGCACACGGATATATGCAGCTCTAATTTGTCCTCGAGCTTTTAAGCGTCCCGAGCCACAAACACACGTAAGCAACATCTCTACCACGACTTTATTACACTCTTCCCAACGTAATACACGTGACAAAAATTCCCACCGCCTTACACACAATTATACTGTACCCCCCCCCCACAACACACCCAATAGCCACACTTCCACATGTCGCACACAGCACCACAACTCCATCACACACAGCCGTCACTTTCCCCACGATCCTACACATCCACTATCCACACCACAACATACCACATGACCCCACAACAAACCCACGATCCACACCACAACATACCACACACGCTACAGCACCCCACAACAAACCCATTATCCACACAACATATCACACACCACAGTGCCCCTACAACACCCACTATGCACAGCACCCACTGTCAACAAACCCCAAACATAATCCGTGACGTTTCGGGCCACGGCCCTTCTTCACAGCAGTTCCACAACACAGCGGGCACGTGCGCATCACGACCACTCGCCCCGGTCGCAGCAAGTCGCATCACAACTGCACGCGACTGTCAACAAATACGACGCCAAACTCCAACCCCAACACCTGGCCGGACCCACGAGCCAGAACCTCTCTCTCTCTCTCTATCCCTCCCATCCTCCCCCTACCCCCCTCCACACACACACACCTCACACACACACAACCACCCCCCACACACACACACAACCCCCCCTCACACACACACAACCACCCCTCCACACACACACACACAACCACCCCCCCACACACCCCCCCACACACACACACCCCCCCACACACACACACCCCCCCCACACACACACACAACCACCCCCCCACACACACACCCCTCACACACACCCACACACCCCACACACACACAACCACCACACACACACCACCCCCCCACACACACACCCCTCACACACACACAACCACCTCCACATACAACCACCCCTCACACACACACAACCACCACACACACACAACCACCCCCACACACAACCACCACACACACACACCCACCTCCACATACACACACAACCACCCCCCCCCCCCCCCCATTGCCCACCCTGCCCCAGTCCCATGGCAGGTATTGCCAGAAACATCCGGGTCCCACGTTGCGGGGAAGCAGCAGCACCACCACCATCATCATCACCACCACCTCCACAATCACCACCATCATCACCACCACCTCCATCATCATCACCACCTCCATCATCACCACAATCAATCACCACAATCAATCACCACCACCACCACCACCATCAATCACCACCACCACCTCCACCATCATCACCACCACCATCATGATCATCACCTCCACCATCACCATCATGATCATCATCACCACCATCAATCACCACCACCACCATCATCACCACCTCCACAATCATCACCACCTCCATCATCACCACAATCACCACCACCATCAATCACCACCACCACCTCCACCATCATCACCACCACCATCATGATCATCATCACCACCATCATGATCATCACCTCCACCATCACCATCATGATCATCATCACCACCATCATGATCATCACCACTATCAATCACCACCACCTCCACAATCACCACCATCATGATCATCATCACCACCACCTCCACAATCACCACCATCATGATCATCACCACCACCATCATCACCACCATCAATCACCACCACCACCATCATCACCACCACCATCATCACCACCATCATCATCACCACCACCTCCACAATCACCACCATCATGATCATCACCACCACCATCAATCACCACCACCTTCTTCAGCCATTTTGGAGGCGACAAGGCAAGGAAGAGGTGGCTAGGGATGGTGTTATTGCGGGAGAGACACAAGTGAATAAATAACATCACAACGCAGAAGCAGCAGCCCTTGGATATCCGCCAGCAATAGCGCTCGGATCTGGCACGGCGTCAATTATCGTCTCGTTTAGCGGCACCGCCGCCGGTGTTTTGATATTATTGGTTGCGAGAATCGTAGATGTGGCTGGGAGGAGCGGGTGACCCGTGGTGTGTTCGTGTGGAGTGTCTTTGTGGGTTTTGTTGTTGTTGCTTTGAGTGGCCGGGACATGCAACTGCTCCTCCGTTTCACGTTGGCGACATTACAACGACAACAACAAATGATATGGGTTAGGGAGAAGACGGAAAACCGAACAAATATAAACAACTCATGATCCCCACCTCTGGGGAGAAACGAGAAAGGGTGGAGGGGAGTGGGGTTATCGTTTTTATTGTTGACAGCTTTGTAAGAGTTTTTTGGTTGTAACACAGAAACTTCTGTATGTTAATTGAAATATATTTTAAGAGATGAGGGGGGGGGTGTTTATCTTGTGTTTGGTTTGGAGAGATGGAAGTGTTAAGAGAAGTAATATTTAATCAAATCCACCGACATTACTCAAATTAACCTCCGCGTGTGTGTGTGCGTGTCTTGTGTGTAACACGCCGAGTTCGGCGGGGTCACTTTAAGATGCTTTTCTTGCTCGTGTTTTTGTTTGTGTTTGTTGCGGTCGCACCCGATTCAAGAGCCGAATGGCTCACGGGGCTACACCACACGAAGCCGAACAAAACAACAGCGGCGCGCACGAATTCCGTGACCCTGTCACGAGAGAACGCCGCCACCACCAGGGCCCTCCACGACGACGAGAGGCGACACCTTGGGCGCTCTAACGAGACTCGGTACCGGTACAGAGGTAACATAAAAGCCTCCTCCACCACCACCCTCGTTAGACAGCAAGGCGAGAGAGACAGAGACAGACAGCACGACTACTGTTGCGATGCGCCTGTGGGTCGAGTGAGTGTGGAGAGAGGGAAGAAGGTTGTTGTTGTTGGTGGTGTTGTTGGGGGAGCACAAGAGGCTCCTCCATCGCTGACCCTGGGCGCCAGGGGTGGGGAGGTGCCGCCGCCGCCGCCGTACGGATTCGACGATGACTCCCCGCTGCTCTCGCTACGTTCGCTCCACAATAAACAACAGCAGCAGCAACAACAGCAGCAGCAACAACAACAGCAGCAACAACAACAGCAGCAACGACAACAGCAGCAACGACAACAGCAGCGACAACAGCAGCAGCAACAACAGCAGCAACGACAACAGCAGCAACAGCAACCGGCGGCATAACGCATAATCGGCAACGCTGCAATTGACACCGATATCTTCTCGTTGCGTTGTGTGTGTGTGTGGTAAAGAATAGCCAGCGGTGTGTATAGCGAGGATAGTGGAGCCCGCTGATGGTGGCCACGCCACGGAACAACAACAACAGCAGCAGCAGGAGGACGACTGCAAGAATCGTAGCGGCGCCGTGTCCCGACCGGGACGGCAACCTCTCTCCATACTCATCCCGCACGATACTTAAACTACTCTAACACGGCTACTACTGGCTGCTTTGTGGGCTCACCACCACTATCACGCCACCACTACCACAACACTACCACACCACCACTACCACACCACCACACTACCACTACCACAGTACCACCACCACTACCACACTACCACTACCACAACACTACCACACCACCACCACACCACTACCACACTACTACGACTACCACCACCACTACCACATCACTACCACGCCACCCAACATCGCCTTTCGCCGCCGTCTCTTCCGATCGCCACCACCGGGGCCCGCCGCTGTCCCCGGGGGTGGGGGGAGGTTGGTGGGGGTTGGGGGAGTAAAAAAAAAGAGAGAACGAGAGAAGACAACGAATCCACGAGAGAACGAATCCACGAGAGAAGACGACGAATCCACGAGAGAAGACGACGAATCCACGAGAGAACGAATCCACGAGAGAAGACGACGAATCCACGGAGCCACCAACCACCAAAACCGCGCGCGCCGCCGCCACCACCACCACCTCCACCCCTCCCTCCTCCATCTTCATCCCGCCTCTGAACATCTCTCAGCAACAACAACAGCAGCAGTAGCAGCAGCAAGAGAAGCAGGAGTGTGGAGTAGCAGCAGCAGCAGGAAGAAGAAGAAGAGAGGGAGGAGGAGGAGGAGCTGAGCTGTGCGAGTCGTCGCCGTCCCACATCATCATCAGCAGCAGCAGTGCGTTGTGACGCGGCGCTGCTTGGCAGGGCTCGCCATGGCGAGCTGCCAACAGCAGCAGCAGCGGCCGCCGCCGCCGCGACCACGGCCACAGCAGCCGAGGCGGCACCCAAGCCTCCTCCTCCTCCTCATCATCACCACTCGACTCCCACTGTTGTTGCGACCCATGCTGCTACTGCTGCTGCTTCGGCCAGGTGAGAGACGAAGGCGGCGGCGGCGGGGTTTGAGGGGTTTGAGGGGTGAGGCGACAACGAGGGTAAGGCTGTGGCTGTCTCTGTCTGTCGTCGTCTTTTTAGTATTCTCGCTCCACTGCGTTGCGCTTCTTAGGAACGCTTACTTTGACAAAGCGACTTGCGATGTGCTTTCATACAGCAGTCTGTTACATACTACTACTACTACGGTCCATATACAAGACCACAGTCCATACACAATAGTACAGTACATACACAAGACTACAGTACATACACAACACTACAGTACTTACACAGGACCACAGTCCATATACAATACTACAGTACATACACAAGACCACAGTCTATACACAACACTACAGTACATACACAAGACCACAGTCCATACACAACACTACAGTACTTACACAAGACCACAGTCCATACACAATAGTACATTACATACACAAGACCACAGTCCATACACAATACTACAGTACATACACAATACTACATACAGTACACACACAAGACCACAGTCTATACACAACACTACAGTCTATACACAAGACCACAGTCTATACACACGACCACAGTACATACACAAGACCACAGTCCATACACAATACTACAGTACATACACAAGACCGCAGTCTATACACAACACTACAGTCTATACACAATACAGATTATACACAACACAGATTACAGTCCATATACAAGACTATACAGTCCATACACAACACAGACAACAGTCTTGACACAAGACTACAGTTCATACACAAGATAGATACAGAGATTACAGTCTATACAGACTGCAGTGAGTACGCAATGCTTGGAGGGAGTATGTGTGTGTGTCTTGGGCTGCTATATACGTGCGTGTACACGTGGTGAGTGTGCACGGTATGGTGAGTGTGTGCACGGTATGGTGAGTGTGTGTACACGTGGTGAGTGCGTGTGCACGGTGTGGTGAGTGTACACGGTGTGGTGAGTGCGTGTACACGGTGTGGTGAGTGCGTGTGCACGTTGTGGTGAGTGCGTGTGTGCACGGTGTGGTGAGTGCGTGTGCACGTTGTGGTGAGTGCGTGTGTGCACGGTGTGGTGAGTGTGTGTGCACGCAGTATGGTCGTGTTCTTTGTTGGGATAAGCTCGCCAATAGCACAGCGACTCGCTTCGCAAGTGGGTCCAGCATGAAAGCATTGACTTTCTTTGTCTCCACGTGCAGCAAGCGTGCGGGTCGTGCACCGCACGTGTGTCCGTGTCGTGCACGTGTGTCCGTGTCGTGCACGTGTGTCCGTGTCGTGCACGTGTGTCCGTGTCGTGCACGTGTGTCCGTGTCGTGCACGTGTGTCCGTGTCGTGCACGTGTGTCCGTGTCGTGCACGTGTGTCCTTGAACCGCACGTGTGTGCTTGCACAGCACGTGTGTCCATGCATCGCACGTGTGTCCATGCATCGCACGTGTGTCCCTGTCGTGCACCGCACGTGTGTCCTTGCACCGCACGTGTGCTTGCACAGGACGTGTCCCTGTCGTGTGTCCATGCACCGCACCGTGTGTCCATGTGCGTGCACCGCACGCGTGTCCATGCATCGCATACGGATCGTGCACAGCACACGTGTGTCCGTGCACAGCACACGTGTGTCCGTGCACCCCCACACACGCGTGTCCGTGCACCCCCCCACACACGCGTGTGCCTCCGTGCTTGTGTACCACACAAGCTGGCACCGCGACCTGCCACAACTCAGACATGACGGGCTGAGAGGGGGAATGATCTTTGTCTTCACAGCGCTGCACGTCCATGAGTGCTGGACTGTGTCAGATGCTCGTGTGTGTACGGTGCCGTCTATCACGTTGTGCACAGGGAGACCGTGCTCGTTGTTGCCCTACTGTTCCACGAGTAACATTCTCGTACTTTGTCCCAACACTGGTCCAAAGCTAAAAGGGGAATCTGTAATCGTATAGTCACGTACCGGTGGTCAGCATAGGGCAACTTCTATGCTCCCTTCGTGTGTACCTTCTACGCCAACCCCGCATTGACCGGCGCGGTGAAGTATGGTCAAATAACTCCCCAACGAGACCTCCACCATGGCAGTGGCGATAGTACTGCCATCCAGCATTGGATTGACAAAAGGGCTGCACTGCAGTATATAATGTTGTATACACAGTAACTGCATACCCACAACGGTGTGCAGGGGAGAACGTGTTTACATAATGTATGGTAACACTGCGCAGACAGCACCATGCATACTAAATCAGGGATCTTTATGTGTGTGTGTGTGCGCTATACTGTGATCTAGTGCATGTGCATCAAGATGTGTACACGTGTGTGTATGTACACGTGCAACACTATGCATACTAAATCATGGTTATTTACGTATGTGCTTAGGTACACACGTGGTTGTGCACACCACGTACACGTGTGTTAGGGAGTGTAAGGTGATACGGTGAAAACCGTTGTTTACAAGAACAATACTTGCCTATGAGTATATGGATATCCAAGTACGTGTATAGTACAAAGTATATACTGGGTTGAAGAACGATGTACACTGGCCTTGATGGACGTGTAGGCTGAACTACTGCAGTGCAGGTGTGCAATATGCAGTACCATAATGTCACTCCCACAAAGCCTACATAGGGTGTATATATTCACTCTACACCATGGTATGGACAATATACCTTAACCACGCAGGTTAGTGCGGGGTTGAAGTCAAAAGGAAGTTCGTTCACAACAAATGGTTTCTTGCTGTACTGCCCTCTGCTGCCCGCCGCGTAACCCCGTGACCTTTTGTCACTGTGCCCTCCGTTGTTGTTACATAAGGGTGTGCAATGCAGCAGGCAGTGCGCGCGCATCCATTGTGTACATCTCCTGTGACCATGCACCGTAATACCGTTCACATATTAAAGTCGCCCTATATTATTATTGCCCGCAACGTGGCCCGGCATTTGTCACGTCTCGCAAGCATCAGCGGAAGCTTTTATTTTTTTGTGTGTTGAGCCTGGATAGTGCTTGCTTGGATGGGTGACTTGACGACAATGCAGGCAAGTGGGCTTTCTTGGCCGTAGGGATTGTGTGGTGGCGAGATGTTATATCTCTCGCCTGGTATACAGGAGGGTGTCGTGGGTTCTGATCCTGACCCGGACGACGGTGCCTGTGTATTGGAGTCTGCCGTGTTCTCTCTTTCTCTCTGTCTCTTTCTCTCGCTACCCGTGGTCGTGTGGATTTCTCTCCCGGTCCCGCCGGTGTTTACCCCTCCACATTTCAAAATCGTAACTTCAACTGGAGGAATCCGACGAGATGTAAAACTGCTCGCGTGCAGTAGCTTTTCGTAGATGTCCATTTAGAAAAAAATGCGTTCAGATTATTTGGCTGCGACAGATTTCCACGTGATACGCCACTTCCTTGAGTTGTCATTTATGGCCAGGTAGCTAATGAAAAATACTTTTAAAAAAATAGCAGAGGTCAGCGCGGCAAAAAACTTGATTATCCCTGCACTGACATTATTTCAATGCTCCTCAATTCACTTTGCTCCCACCCCCACCCCTCTCAACGTAAAGTATGGTGAGACGACCCCTTACCGGGCCATGTGCAGCAGGCCCCCCAAATCAGCAGTGGATTTTACACGAGGCCCTTGTGCGTGCACACACGCCACGCGATGGTTTGATTGTCTGCACGGAGGAGCGGTGGCGCTAGTGGTCGGCGCAACTGCTGCTACGAACCTGCTATCACACAGAGTTCAAATTCCCGCTCACGGCTATCATCTGAACCGGTCGTCACTGGTCTCCCAATTAAAAAATAAACACCAAAGCGTCACAGAAAGCAGGGCTGAGCGTGGTTCCGGCCACACCTCCCCCCCCCCTATTTGTGCCTTGTGCTTTCCATCATAGGTGCTCGCGAGCACATCACTCGAGCCACAACAGCCTGTGGAGGCTACACGGGGAATGATCTTTGCCGGGTCCCCCTATCTGGAACTCTTGCTGCGTTAAGGCGGGAACACCACATGGGCTGCGAAAGAGAGAAGGAATATAAATAATTAAACTCGTCTTTTGTTGTGCCCGATGCTGCTGCTACTGCTGCTGCAGCCCGAATGTACGTGTGCTTTTTGTGTAACCATCATTCGCCTTTCCCCCCCCCCCCCCTATCTCGCTGTGAATAAATCACGGCTTGGCTATGGCCGCCTGTCTAGCAGTGGATAAGGTCATGGTCGGCAATGATGCAGATGTTCACACGCTGCGCACACGTGCTATTATTGTGCGGTTCATTTGCATGGCATCTTCATTAGCCATGACCTATTCTGCAGTGGATGGATGATGGGAATGCATAATGTTGCAGATATATTCGGACACATTACAAACGTGTTATCGTCGTACACGTGTTACAACATCGTTATCATTAGGCATGGTCTATGCAGCAGTGGCTACATCATAGCTGAGGATCACAATGCAGATATTCACACCGTGTACGTGTCGTGTGAACATCATCATCATTATTGGCCATGATGTATCTCGCAGATCATGACTCGTGATTGATGTGTATTTAATACAGTGCTGTGGTGTGCATAGATGATGATCCCATGCTAATGTGCATGAAATGTGTGTGTGTGTGTTGAGGCATATTTCTGTTTTCTTCTCCACCCCTCCATGCATTTGGTCATGGAGGGGTTAGTTGACCGTATGTCACTCCACTTGACGCTGGTCAGTGTGGACTGATGGCGTGGAGGGCACAGATGCACCTCTGATTAGCGCGGTTGGCTACGTATGGCGCAAAAGAAGTTCTACTTGCATGTAGACGGGGGTGCCTGGAAGTACAGTGCAACAATGGATTTTTCTGCACTGAATCCTGCTGCCCACATCACAGGCCTGCAGGCCCTCATCCAGCAGTGGATTGTCAAGAGGACTGTACATGTGCGTGCATACACGCACTTTCTGCCAAGCCACGCCCATACATACACACACACACCCACACCAAGAGTACACACGCATGTGTATACACCCATCACTTGTATGACTGTATCTGTAAGGGATGGC